ACTTGAAGAAAGCATTCTTCTGGGATTTGGCACCGTGTATATGTGGTGTTAACCGACGTTTCGGAGGAACGTCGGTTAACGCCACATATACACGGTGTCAAATCCCAGAAGACTGCTTTCTTCATTGTCACCGCCGTGAAAGCCTCAAATCTTACATTCTAAGTAGGTTAGTACGTCCTTCCTAAAACTTGTTACTTCAAATGACATCCTTGAACACGAAGATATGTGGTACAGGATGATTGGCTAGGAGGAAGCCCCGAATTATATAAATCATCCATTAATTTACAAGTTGTGAAATTTCTGGAATGCCTCCCGCCATGCTGGCTGCAGTATTCGCGAGCAAGGCGCGTCATGTCGGCCTAAGTCTCCAGACGGAGGAAAACAGTTTTTACCGCCATGGAAGTGTAAGACTGAGTGTCTCTCTCTTACACAGCGCAAATCGGATGAAATTTTAAAAATGATTCAGTCACAAGCATCCCGTGCAAGAAATGTTGGCTCAATATGTTACCTGCAAAGTTCCGCGAACTGAATTCTAAAATTTATCACCTACCGATTTTATTCTCTGATCTTATACTCCATTTTTTCGTCTTATATGACATATTTTATCATGTTTCTTAGAGCTGTACTTCTCCTTGTCTTTCATTTTGTTATTCTTTCCTCCGTACCTTCATTTTCCTTCCCACGTTTTCCTTATTTCTGTCTCCGTAGCTTCCTTCCTTTTCTTACATCTCTTTATTTCTTCGCGGCGGAGTTACTCTCGTGACTAAGGCATAGGCTGGGAAAGCGAGAATACGGGGTTTGATTCCCGGCAAGGTTAAGAGATTTTCTCTTTTTCATAGCGTCCACCCAACCCCGTGTCCAGTGGATACTCGGGAGTAAATTGACCACAGCGTGAAGCTTTCCACTCACCTCTGCCTGTTGCCGAGGTTAAGAATAATTGGAGCTATACCACCACTCCCTTATATATATATCTGTGTGTGTCTGTGTTCATGTAGGGGTTCTTATTTAAGCACAGGAACATCAGATATGTACTCTGCTCTTCCTCGGTTTGCTTTCCTTTTCCATTTGTAACTGCCTGATTTTGTTTTCTCATTTGTTACGTTTTGCTCCTGAGAATTGATTAAATATTGATAGTCAATTACTTTGCATTACTGAGTGCATGCTTGGTTTATTGCATTCAATTATGCCGCAGTTGAAACACAGTGTAAACAACTCAACTTTGTAGAACTCGCAATAGTCCTAATTGATATTGCTGTTTATAAACAGGCACTCCATTTTGTTGTGACTATTGACACAGTACGGCAGCGCTCTGTGTAAACCATTCGATCACGAAGCGCCCCTCGCGCAACTATTTCCCTTTCGTATTTCACGTCGCAGGTTATGAGTTCGTGCGCGTCTTTTGTCTCCGTGTTCAAGAGCGTTGAAAAGAATAGAAATGTATGGTCACATCTCAGTAGATTTAGGCTGTGATACCGCGTAGTCTTGTAGGTGGATACAAATGTTTCGGAGGAATATGGTCCCTCCATCTTCAGGGTAGAAGTGAGGATACGTTCAGCCGCTACTCACGTTTATCCCGAAGATGATGGCTAGTATATTCCTCTGAAACATTTGTACCCACCTACAAGACTATACGGTGTCATAAGCCGGAGAACCGCAGTTTTAATAATCGCCGCACTAAGAACCTCGTAACTTAGATCTCAAAAGATTTTACATCTGACTATAAATTTTCCAAAATGTGATCCAGTTCACGGAACTGCGAAAAACGGTAAGAAATAGGACGGAAATTCTTTTCTTACATTTCACAAGAATTGTTACCTCTAGAAGAACCATCCCTCGTTGGCGGATGGGGGAAATTATCGTAGTATAGGGTTGGCTGGTCAGTAGGCATATGCAAAAATATTAAGTTGTCCCTACGCTTCGTTAAGCACCACACCATGGAGACGTATGAAAGCGCGGAGGTACGTCGTAACCCCAGCCGCTTTATATCCGGGTAAAGGGTTCGTCATACTTATGGGATACGAGACTGGGCGGGTCCCTGAACCTGCCTGCACTCGGTGGAGTAAGTGAGAAAACCACGAAAACCATCACTCATTATAGCCGGTCTTTGGGCCCGACATTTAAACCCGGTACCTCCCAAATACGAAGCATGAGTGCTATCTACTGATCCAGGATGTACAGTGTATCTACTTCCGAAGTTAATCTGTGAATTGTCATGCTAAGGATTCGTCAGCTCTTTGACATTCAGAATTAACTGCTGTGGAAGACCGTAGAAAATGTCGAGCCGGCATGTCCTGTCCGCGGACGTTGCACTTAACGTCTTCGCATCCGCTGTCTTTGACATTCATTCTTGTATTTCTCACGCAACTCACCCTCCCAAGAAGTTTCATCTTTGAGAGTTTAACACCGAAGTATGACCGTGAAGAACGCTATCTTCTGGACTGTGACAGCTTGAAGCCTGATAAATTCACCGACCTTTCAGAGGAACGTACTGCTTGGATTTTCCCAGTCGAAAAGTGAGCGAAATAAGCAGCGGACGAAGTGCTGTATGCGTACTGCTTGCTGGCATGTTATGCTTACCTTCTTACCCTGACGAGAGAGGGAGTACGTTCGTTTGAAACAGCGGTAAACTTCTGTCGGATTACATGACGTCAGACCCCAGAAAGCTCTTCGCTGTCACCGCCTCGAGTGACTCAAATTTCACACCAGACATGTTGTTTCCCTCATGAATATAAATGTTTATAACCTAGTGGAGCTGTGTGAGGGTCAGACACGAGCATACCTATGACGTTTAGTGACTTAACCACCGGTATCAGATATCTGTGTTGCCTCCCTTGGGATGGTAAACCGCATGGGTAGAAGTTCTCGTTACCCTTATCAACGTTATTAGTTCCTGTCTTGCACGTCCCTCGTTCGGGGCGTTGGGTGTCGCGCTGTTTGTGTTACTGTGTTAGCAAGTAACGGAACAAGTTTCAAACTCGTCAGAACTTTATTTCATTTAGCAACGGGTGGTAGAACGAGAGAGAGAGACAAGAGAAAATAACTGTAAAGAAAGAATATGGAAGGAACAGGAACGAAAGGAAGGAAAGAGGATGTAAAAGGTCAACAGTTCTTCAGAAATGTTAGTACCAAAGTGCACGGTGTCACATTCCATAACTAACCTTCGCAGCGACGTGAGAACCCGTAATAAACCTTTCAGATTTTCTTCCACATTATTTCCTTAAAAGGTTAATCGTTTGTTAATTACGTTCTGCAGTCCTATTGCTGCTAGTGTCAGCTCTGAACTTCGCCATAATAAAGGAACGTAATGAGTTTTCCTCCAATTGAAGTGCCTATTTCTGTCAAGTTACTGTCAGCCTTAGGCCCGCCAGTCTTCGCGCGCAGCTTAATTAATTTCGTGATAGTTCATTGTTCACTTGCTACGTTGATATGCAAAACATTCTGCAGCCATGAACTGAAATTACGAAATAGCATACGTTGGTCACATTCTGGAACTTAACGGTTAACCACAACACGAGAATGCAAACCTCGAACAGTAACGTATATTTGTCTTCTGCTTTCGACTGACTGCCACAGGGTCAGATTGTAACGCTAAAGATTCCCAGCTGGAACTGCATAATAGAACATAATAAGACAAACGAACAGAAAAGCTAATAATTAATAAGGAAGAAATAAGAAAATTGCCATAACTCCAACTAGCAGAATCTTTCTCGAGACGCTAACAGTCGCTCACCTACGTAAATAATTTCCCGTCTTTATGGAACCCGAAGATTCATCATCGTGTTTACAAAACAGCAGCATTCGACTCTGTCCTGAGCATCTGAATCAGTTCTACATGTTGGACAGTATTCAATTCATTATTTTCCTGCAGGCTGCACTATATCTCCCAATTTGTCTCATTCCTAAGTGAACTCGAATGTCAAATATTCACCAATATTCGCCATATTACTCTCTCCTGAGCAGCCGAATCCTATTTATCGAAATTTGTTTTAATGTTATCATATCGACTATGTCTCATCTGCAAATCTGTCCCGTTCTTAGAGCTTTTTGGGGGACTGGTTAAAATCGTATACTGATCCCTCCCCCTGTTACTTTCCTCTCCACCTTGTAATCGTCGTTTTAATAATTGCAGTAATATTGAATGAAGAGAATATATTATGTAACTCCTCATTATGCAGTTTTTTCTTCCCTCTCTCAGGACCAGACGGTCTGCCCTACACTCTGTTCCCATATGTCCTGGATCGTTCTTCTTCTGCGACAGAAACTAAGTTTCAGTATCCGTACAGAACAGCGGGGAAAATTATGTTTTTGCGAGAACCTCACAATTTATTTCACCAAGATCCATCTGGCATCAGTAATGAATTACAATCGGAAAGCCAGATCATGCGGAAATTCACTCGCACGGCAGAACCAAAAACTGTAATCCCACTTTAGGGTGACGAAAAATGCGAAAGCACAGTTTCGGCACCTCTGGTTGAACAGTGAATCTGCCCAATTCCCTGGCCTTGTGCATACGAAGCTAAGATTCGTCGTGGCATTTAAGTTACAAAATACAACCAACTGATTTCAAGTATGTTACATAAATGTTTATTTAATGGAGATAATCAAATATTTTTATTATATGTCCCGTAGAATATTCCACTGCGTGATATGTACGTGGGTTTAGATATTGTAACATTTTGATGTATCAGGGAGGCAGTGAAATGATACTCGATGTATCAGAGTGTAATTTGTGTGGTTTTCTTGTTGTAGATGATAGTGATGTACCCAAGGCCTAACATCTACACTTGTACAGTGCGTGTCTGGTTAAGAGAAATCGGCTTCTCTCTCACTTATGGAGCCCTGATGCTGAAGACATGGAGGTAAGAATTTGGACACGCCACTCAGCAAAAATGCTGAGAATATTGCTAGGCCGTGTACATAACCTATGTTCCAGGCATGTCCACTGAATGTAATTCCAGACACCACAGAACTAATTCTGCAGTGTTCTAACAGTATTATAGGTAGGATACTTGGTTTCTGGATGTTCTCCCTCGTCTGATATGGTTATTTCAACGTCCCTCTAGTCTGACGCTTTGTTGTTGCAAATAAATTTAAAGTTTAAAACACTGATTACCTGTGAGTCTAAATGTTATATACAAAGTACTTTTTCTGTTAAATTATATATAGATACGTAGATATATAGATAAGTAATTGAATGTGGTCTTTTACGATTAAAATTATTTAGTGTGTTTGTTATATTAGACCACTTTTGAATAGCTTCAGTCCCCTTGAAGATCACTGTACCTATTATGTGAAACACTGATCCCGTGTTCTGAACACCACAACATAACCCCATGAGAAGAATACTTTTTTTTTAATAGAATCAGCTAAGCAACTGAATCCCCACCTTTCCATCTGAGAATAGAAACATATTATGATTGTGAAATGCTGTTTGTGTGTTCTGTTTGAATTAATGGACGGAGTCCAGAGCCATTATTACAAAACCACAGAACCAATATGTGATTTTCATTTATTTCAGATTTCAGAGCAGCAAAAGCTGTATCTTAAGAGGGTTATGATAAACTTTCTCAGTAATTAATTATGGAATTCAACATTTGTTCCGAATGTACTTGGACATAGATTTACAGTGTATGGCTGCATGTGCAGCCAACTTAAAACATAGTTCTGAGTTGGTTTAACAAAGAAATCACCAGCCTTGCAATATTTATTAGCCAGTCAGACGCCGTACATTCCACTCGAAAAATTTTGTTCCAGGAAGTAGGTCTGTAATGCAAAGTATAGTACAGCACTGTACTCTTAAATCTCTTAAACGAAAATAATATGGTAACCACGCTGAATATTTTCATGTATAAACAGTAACTGTTGTGTTCATGTAAGTTTATTTGGTGATCTGTCGCAGTTATGTCTATTAATATTAAAATCTGAAGGATTTAATCCTCCAGAACTCTAAAATGCACCATGCCATTATCTGTGCTGTTTAATGTTAGTATTTCTGTTCCTTGATCTGCTACACTAGATCCTATTGTGATTGTGCTGTGGGAATGTATATTTAATTCACATATATGTTAGTTATACAGACTGAAATTGGAGACTTTCTTTGACTAGCAATTTTGCTTCAAGTGTATGACATTTATTTCAATTTAATTTGGATTTTATAATTACAGTTTTTTTCATTATGGAAAATAAAAATTACAACTTTCTGAATGATTACAGTTGTGTTGCCTGCGAGGCAATAATATATATATATATATATATACCATTGAATTACAACAGAATGAAATACCTGGGAGCAATATCATAACAGATCCCCATTATTACTGGTTAACCTGGCCTACATTTTTATAACTCGCTTTTTTAGACAGGTATATATAATACATAGACATTTTCACTCAGATTGTTAAAGTCATGTATTCGAGAATCCTTAAGTTGTTCTATATTTTGTTTTTCTGACTTGGCCCAAGCCAGGCTTCTGACTTCTGTTCAGGAGGCCCTTGTTTTGAATGTCGGCCAGGATACTAACTATCTGACCGAGGTATTTTGTGGTTTTTCCTCAGTCCCTCCGTGTAAGTTCCAGGACAGTGTCAGAAATTACGCCGTGATCATTTCCAACCACATCCTTTGCAATTCTTCAGTCACCAATTATTGTATCATTTGATATTATGTAGTCTTAGCTGCTGACAGCAACATTAAATAAAGTGTAAATAGGGTAAAATATGAAGACAGCGTGTTCTTTTAAGATATTGGTAACTACTGTCAGACAAAATAAAATTTATATCGTAGTGACGTTTATATTTTATGTTCAGTATATGAGTTTGTTGAAGAATGAGATGATTCTGAGAAATAGGTGTGAAATTAAATATGAAGTGGGTTTAAGTAGATTTATAGAGAATGTCCATAAAGCTCTGTCTTGCAGGACATCATAGAAGAGCACTGTACAGGAATGTGTAGTAGCAGTTCTGAGAGAATAATAATTGCAATGAAATTACAGACGAGCTTGAAATAAACTTCAAAAAACTCAGAACTACCACAAATGAGTTCATAATTTGTAGAATAACAAAATAAACAGGGACTTTATGGGTACTCTATATTAATTTGAAAGAGACTGATATTAAATTCCCCAAATAATGTTTTTATATATTCCCAATTACAAATTTAATCGAAATTCACGGAGATAAAAATTAGAACGGATGGATAAACACAGGCTAATGTTCCACTTAAGACACTCTGCACAGAAATAAATCAGAAATGGGTAATATTAATACAACATTTCTTGTGTTATGCAGAATATCGGTGATTTTTCGGGTGCGTTCAGCCAAAGCAGTAAAAATTACAGATCTGGATCTTCTGAAGAGACTTGGAGTCATTGTCACCATCTTTAGTGTGTTCCTGGTGATAAGAACCCTTGTAGCACCACCTCATGTCATCGTAGGCAGAACGGCTGATGATCTGAAAGCATTTCTTTGCCGTACAGACTGGTGGGATCATTCCTTCACTACATGTGAGTAGAACAGTACAGATTTATGAGGCTTTGAAAGTAGAGTTTTTGTTTGTAGCGTAGAGAACTAAGATTCAAAGACTGACGATTTTATGTTTTTTTTCTCTCAGTCACCGTTCACATACAGTAAAACCTGTCAATGTTGTCCACCTTTGGTTTCACTGCAAGTTACATAAAAATATATTAACATTCCTATTTTTGTGTCTGTACTGATTACCTACATAACTGTTGTACATACTGTGTTATTCTTGCCACCATGTTAAGATCAGGCTTGTGGATCACTTTATAATATTCAGTTTCTGAACTTATGACTAATGGATATACTGTTTGCTTCATGTCATTAATGGATCTGAAATGAACTTGTAAGAAATATTTATGGTAATGAATTTTAATCTGTCGGGTCAAAGAAAGAACATTAATTGTGTGTTGTAAGGGTCAAATTGAGACTGAACTCGGGTAATGCTTGCTACTATTCAATCCAGAACCTTTTGTCTTCTCGTCTGCTGTCCAAAAACATAAAAATTAGAATTTACAGAACTATAATTTTGCCTGTGGTTCTGTATGGGTGTGAAACTTGGTCTCTGACATTGAAGGAGGAACATAGACTGAGGGTGTTTGACAACAGGGTCTTGAGGAGAATATTTGGACCGAAGAGAGATGAAGTGACATGAGGTTGGTGAAAACTGCATAATGAGGAGCTTCATAACTTGTACTCTTCTCCAAGTATAATTAGAATGATTAAGTCAAGGAGGATATGGTGGGCAGGTCATGTAGCACGAATGGGGGAGAGGAGGAATGCGTATGGGATATTGGTGGGAAAGCCAGAAGGAAAGAGACCACAAGGAAGACCAAGGCGTAGGTGGATGGACAATATTAGAATGGATCGTAGAGAGATTGGATGGGATAGTATGGATTGGGTAGATTAATTGTGAGTGATTTTCTGTTGTTGCTTTATGTTTGTGTTTGGTATTGGCTGATGTCATGTGGATGAAAAATGCAGGCCTTCCTCTGATTTGGTCACACGCCCCACCCACATTGTCTAGATCCTTATAACAAGACAAACTAACACGCATAAATTTACGACATAGCTCAAGCGGTTAGTCGCTGGCTTCCCAACGCGGCGGCCCGGGTTCGATCCCGGGTCTGGTCAAGTGGGTTTTGTGGTGGACAAAGTGGCGCTGGGTCAGGTTTTCTCCGAGTACTTCGGTTTCCCCTGCCAATCTTCATTCCACCAATTGTTCCACAATCACCCTCGCCTATCATCTGGGGCTGGTACAATAGGCCAGAAGTGGCCGCAGTATAAGAGACTTACTCCCACCCCACTAGCAATATAAAAACCCGCATAAATCACGTGTCTCGTTATGTAATATCCTAAATTGCTCTCCTTCCTCTGTCTCCTCATGTTCAAATATTTCCCTGAGCACTTTCCTCAAATACGTGTAATTCGTATGTAGTTATGTCTGCTGGGACACAGTGCTGTGGAGTCCAGTGAAAGTCAGCCAACATTCTGTAGCTGTATATCACTTTCATTTTGAGGGCTGCCGTATAAGTGAAGCAAGGTACCGACACACAAAAACTGAGGTAATGTGTTCCACTCAAACGTTAGTTTGCTTTCACCTTACTTCACAGCATTATAACCCAGAAGATAGAACCCATGTATGCATGGCAATGATTCTGACATGTAAATCTGTAACATCCATTATCCTCTTCATATGGATAGATGTCTTAAAGTGACAAGCTCTTCCAAGGACCTTTTATTTGTTCTTGTAAAAAGTCTCATCTGGTTGTTGTTTCTTTGGAGTTCATGAGTCATATTACATCCTAGCGCACAGCTGCTGACTTCAGGGTTCCAGACATATCATCATTCATATTTATAACTCCAGTACTTCAAAGACCCCTTTTGGCCTGTTAGTCCTTATTGAGAACAAAACAAAAGAGCTGAATAAAAGCAGTGGAGAAGCGTTTCCTGAAAGAAGAGGCTGAATAGTCAGTGCTTGTCCATATGTGCAGTGGGAATAGACAGAAGTAACCAAAAGAGGTAGCTGATAATGGAGGAGTAATTGAATATGAATAAGGTGGTTGGAACATTTAAAAAAATGATCAAACGTCGTGGATGAGTGAGTGCTGCTCCTGCTTCTTATCATGCGTTCCCTTTTTCATCTCTCAAATCGATCAAGAATCTTCCTTCCTTTACATCTGATGACGGAAAGAGATCAGGTTTCGAAACCGTTGTGTTCGAAATGCTCAATGCAATGGACCATGTTCAGAATAATAGTCATATTTGCAGGGATATGTACTTCATTAAATTAGTTTTTTTTTTTTTTGGTTTTCTGTTATTTGAATGCCTTTTATGTGAAGTCTTCATTACTTTAAATGGGGTTTTACCAGAAACAAAAGCAGGAAGCTTGGCATTGTTATTATTAATATTGTCATGAAAATATAAACCGCTGACTCCGAGTTTATTTTTAATAACATATTAAAAATTTATTGTATTATGTCCCAAGGGTTACCCGAGTATCATCATGTATTATTTGATGTGAGAAGCTGTTGTTTTACGCTGATCGGATATAAAAGGATGTGCTTTGGAAAGCAAACCTTGTGGGCTGTGTATGCCTGCCACTGTTTACAGATGAATGTGGATTGCAATGGATCATACTCATATAGGTTTTCATATCTTCAATGATACCACGCCATTTATAGAGGCAGAAAGTTCGAACAAAATTCAAAATCTCAATATGAAAAGGACCAGTTCTTTCACATCAAACCCGTCGCTAGACACAAACCTGAGGCAGGTAAAGGCAAAAGTTAAGTTATCACTGTGCTTATTTAAGCATTATATCATGATGTATTGAGACGGGAGGTGTAGATCCACGCATTCCTAACCTGGGCACTAAATATAATTTATGAGCAGACTGATTCTGTTAAGTGGCTAGTGCTTTCTAAGTTATATTTCTGGAGTGCTGATCCACATATATTTTTCCGAGATCTAATATTAACCTTAAGTTATCATGTACAAGCGGCCTCCGTAGTCTAGGGGTAACATTTCCACCTCATGACTCAAGGTACGCGGGTTCAAACCCGGCGGAGGTCGTGGAATTTTTAAGGGCGGAAAAATTCGGGGAACAAGGGACTTTAACCCGTGGGCCCCGTGTCGTAGCTTTACGGCACGTAAAAGAACCTCATGTCCCAAGGGGACCACTGAGCCAAATTGATCGGACATTTCCCACCCAACAGTAGTCTCTAACGCCTCTGATAGATGGGGGAAGCATCGAGAGATACCGCTGAGCCAGTAGAGGCCGAACTCGCTGGCTGAGTCGGGACTGATCGGTAGGGTATAGAGACTGGTAGAATATCACAGAGGGGACGTACAATAGACCAGTGGTCGCGGTGCATGGGGAAACCCACCCCTCCAATAATAATAATAAATAATGATATCATGTGCATATTCCACTTTCCCATTTTGTGACAGATTTACCTTTAATGCAGACACCTGTTCACTTTGACCAGAAACATAAGCGCAGTGATGGATCTCATTAGTGGCCACATTATTAAAAGAAACTAACGTGTAAACTAGACATTTTATAGAGTGTCTTGTTTTAATCAAGGAAACAGTTTTTCAGAAGATGGCTGTGCTTCTATCATCAGGTGAACATACGTGTATGAAACCTGCTGTATTGGGTCTAGTAAATGCATCTAATCTGGTCTGAGGGTACAGATTTGCGTCAGCTTGGAGGCCCCAACATTATAGGCTTCATATTTTTCCTGATGCTTCCTTAATCAAAATGAGATGGTGGAAATGCCTAGTACGTACATCAGCACCTTCATTGAAAATCCTTGTACTTATTTCATTGTATTAATCTCTTTCTGTATGTCATATGAGGGAACACTTGTACAAATAATTGGAAAGGGAATTAAAACTCTGACACTTTTCGAATTAAAATAATTCTGAAGTCGTCTTCTGGGTTTAGGCACCGTGTATTCTTCGTTTTGGCCGACGTTTTGGAGGAACGTAGCGCCTCCATCTTCAGAGCAGTAGAATGGCTTGGAATGCGGAGAGCAGTAGCTGTGGTGATAGGATGTGAAAGGTGCTGCTTATATACGAAGTAGGCAGGGGGGTGGTTAGGGAGAACGGACCAATGGGAGCAGTGGGGAGCGATTAAGACCATATATGGTGTGTGTTGATTAAGGGAGGGGGGAAGAAACGTCGGCCAAAACGAAGAATACACGGTGCCTAAACCCAGAAGACGACTTTCTTCATTGTCATCGCCGTGAAAACCTCAAAACTTACATAAAATAATTCTGTTGAAACATGTATGATTTGAGTTGTCATTATACAGTGCTATTCATCTAGCCCAGAATAGTATCCATTAGACCGCCATTATGATCAAGGTAATAAACACTCGGGTTTCATAAAACGGAATTTATTAACCGCCTGAACAGTTGAACATTCTTCATGACTATGTTTCACGAAGTCAGGATTCATTACGCTTTTGAAGGAAACTTCAAAGGTTACCCTTAGTGGATCCATTCTAAGGCTTCATACCCTGTTTCTCCAAACATAAAAAAGCAGGTTAATAATAATAACAATACGTATGTTGGTGACCAGAATTCAAACTATTGGCTCTTATAACATTATTCAGCTCACAAGTATGATGGTTGCCCTGGTATTCGGACTCTATTATCAGAGATACACAGACGTGACGCTGGATGAAACTCCCATTTCTGTAAAGAGAACTGGGTGAGTGAGATTCTGAGTCTACATACATATATGTAGTTTCTACAGAAATGTGTGAATTGCTGGAAATGTTTGCTATACATAAATATCAGAAGAAAATAAGAGAAGTCTGTGGTTAGGGATTCCCGCAGGAGAGACAGTAGCAGTTTAGAGGTTTGACATGTTTGTTCCCATAGGACTTCTTCCACTCCAGCCAGCCGCAATCTCCGTAACATTATCCTTTCCTACCAGCATAGCACCAATCTATACGATTCTTACATCCCTCTCT